ACATATGTACACATGTATATGTTAGATATATAAATACTTTTTTGTGTGTCTGTTTTGTTTTTTTTTTTTTGTTGTTGCCAAAAGCCTCTGTCAATGGGTCAAAGTGTTTTTGCTCTGGAGAATGGTAGTACTTAGTACTTATCTTTTGACAGATTCTCTCACTCTGCACTTCACATCGGAGTCTCGTTATTTTATACCATAATATTTGTTCAGGGTTAAATGCATTCAACAAGCTCTTGATATATTTGCGCACATTTAGCCATACGCCATTAAAGTTAAATTAAAAGCCCTCTTGAATTATGGCCAGCAACTGTGAAAGAGGCTCATTGAAAACATTGGCCACAAATAACATGAAAATAATTGCATTCATTAAACGCCAACAGCCAAGAGGCAGAATCACATACATAAATAACAATTAAAAGCTGACTGACCAAAATTACCAAAATAAACTTTAGTGAAGCATTTCTCTGTCTCTACATATATCTGCTTTCTTTATTGTACACCTTCTTTCAAGGCACTCTATACTCCCAACTAGAGCAGCTCTCTGTCAAAATCCCCTTGACAGCCCACATCCACTTGAAGAACTCTTCGTTGCGGCATAGCTTTTTCTGCATATTTATAGCTAGCCGGGCAGCCCCACAAGTGTCTCTCTTTTATTTTCGCATAATTACCAAATACTCGTACAAAATGAAAAGAAAACATCTCGTATTACTTGGCCAAATCGAAAGTGAAATTCATTGCCTTTCATTGCCTGGCCTTGTGCCGGAGTTTTATGGTTTTTTATTATTATTACTCTCTTATTCCATCTGGTCCATCGTCAAGTGCACTTTGTCGTAAATTATTCAACTTGAAATGCAATTATAAAGAAATTCATTTTCGACTTAATTTCGGTGTGATGTAATGCAGGCAAATGTCAGTTCGTGTTAAATTGGGGTTTTGTTCAGCGCTACGCTGCGCTGTTTGTTCAAAAATTTGATTAGCATATATTTCAAATTAGATATAACATACTCGTATACACAAATTATTTGTACATTGGTATATTTAGATGGAGCCGCTGTCTATGTGTCATATATGATTGGTGGAAAATATTCGAACATGAATATCCCCTCGTATTTTGAATTGAATGTTTATTTATAGCATAATTACAGCGCATGAAAATGTTTTGAAAAATGTGTTCCAATTTATTTATATTTATTTTCATGCCTAAACTTATTATTGTTGCTAGTCACATTGAATTTTTAACTCTCGTAAATATTCAATTTTGTATTACATTTCGGTGGTTATTATAATTTTAATTTAATTCTCGTTCTGGATTGCATTGCATAAAATTAAAGTTCGCAAAATTTGGGTTTCCTTTTGGGGGGTTTTTTTTTTTTGTTTGGTGTAGATTTTTCCGTTTTGTTCTGTTTGCGGCTTTGGAACAAACTTTTTTGGTATTCGGTATTTTTGCAGCTGTTGCTGTTGCCAGCAAGCCATTGACTAGGGCTCTGGCTCTGGCTGGGACTGGGACTGGGACTCTATGGCAGTGGCAGTGGCAGTAAAGCCCACTGTTATTTGTTAGTGTTACGGTTATTATTTCTGCCTGGCAGCCTCAGCCACAGCCACAGCTACAGCCACAGCCACAGCCACAGCCCTTCCTCCAAAGTTCACGGTACAGAAGCAGCAGCTGGCAATATTTTTTTAGTTCTTTGTAACGCAAGGTTTCATCTACTATTGTTCCGATATTTTGCTTTTATATACATTATTTTTGCAGCTTAACGACAACCTACTGAAAAGTTTATTCGAATGTTTTCCCTCGTTTCCATTTTACACATATTCCTCGCTCGAGAATGAACTCTGCGGAATGCTCGTTTCCATTTATCACATTCGGGTGCTCATTGCGGATGCGGATACGGATACATATTCCGTATACTATGTAAGCTGGAGATGTGGCTAGCTGCTAGATATATGTACATACATATGTCTGTATGTCGGCACATAGTCTATGTGCAGTTATAGATGTTTACATTGTTTTCAATCCGCCACAAACTCATTAGCATTGTGGTTAAGTGGGTGCAGAGGAAAACCTCTGGGTTGAAGGAAGGGAAAAAGTGTTTTCATGCCCTGCGGCTGCCTCTGATGATGATGATGCTCCCCTCTGATGGTTAGCAGGGGGTGATGGGGGGGGATGGGGAGCTCATGATCTGAATATATGCATGGCGGTTGTTGATTTTTAGGGAGTGCCATGCAGCCCACAGACAATTGCTAATGAAATTTGAAGTGGGAATGGCTTCCATAGATACTCCAATAAATATTAAATTTTAAGGAATTTATTTATTTTATGGTTACTAAATGTTGTTGATAAGAAATGGGACACATCATCATTCACTGAAAACTTTCCACAGAAAACAGCTTAATGATTAAAATTTATTGTCCGTTTCGCTGGAGATAACTGCATGGGGAATCTGTTTCCCTGTCACTACACTATCTAGTGCAGACTAAGACTGTGTCTTTATTTATGGGCCCCACTGTATTCGGTTATTTTAGGCAGCATTACGGCCGGCCCTCTGGTCCGCAGTGCGACCCCATTACCGACCCCAGCTCCAAGAACCACAATCAACAACCCTCGCCACGTTCCCTCGCTACGTAGCGTTGCTGTTTCCGCCGTTGCCATTTTATCAGCATTTTGTAGTATCCGCTTAGGCAAAACATTTTCATGAAATAATTCAGCAAATGCATTTGCTTGCGCCACTAGCTGGAGTGGATGGGATGGGATGGGATGGAGAGGATGGAGCATCGCTTGAGTGTTGTAATTAAAAACAGTTTCCAGTTGGTGGCATAGAAAGATAGATTACATTTGGCTTAAAATCCGACTGGAACCCGACTCGTGCTGGGCTCCATTAAAATGCCAATTATGCGGCCATTATAGAAGTTTTAATTCGATTTAATTGAAAGCCAATTTCAACTCCAACTCCGACTCCGACTGCGACTCCAACTCCCTCCAACTATTGTTATGGCAAAGTGAACTTCACGGCTCCGTGCACAACTATTACGCCAGCAATTATATATAACTCATCAAACAGATACGAGACTATATACTATATGATTACTGATTCTAACATTCCACTCTCTATCTCTCCCTCTCTCTGTCTCTTTCAACAGTCTGTCCAATGTGCGGATCGTTCTGCTGGTGAGGGATCCGCGTGGAACAATGCAATCGCGTCGGCATCGCGTGTGGTGCGCTGGCCACGAGGACTGCGAGGATCCGCGACTGGTCTGCCAGGATCTGCAGGATGACTACAAAACAGCTGAGATATTGCTGGATAAGTATCCATCGCGTTTCAGGTGCGTCATCTGTTTATTTTCCACAAAAAAAAAAACCAAAAAAACTTATGCAAGATATTTTTGTTTTGGCAGAACCCTACGCTATGAGGATCTGTCATTGAATCCCAGTGAAATGACCCAGGACATACTGCAGTTCTATGGCCTGCCGTTCGATCCCGCTGTGGAGGAGTTTTTGGAGACGCACACCAAGGTCAATATTGGCGGCGTTAGCTCCACATATCGTGATTCCAGATCAGCGCCATTCCATTGGATGCAGGATCTAAAGCCGGATGAGGTGAGTACTTCAAGGCCACATTTTTTTTAAGGTGCATTATTGACACTCTTTCTTTGTAGATCAAGCAAATCCAGGATGTTTGCATCGAAGCCATGGATCTGTGGGGCTATCGTCGCATCGATAGCTTCAGCAACTTCTCCAGCCTCCAGCAGACCTTCGATCCGATGGTGCTGCCGCCGCCGTTCACGTGAAGCGGCATTAGTGTTAGCTGATCTATCTATAACGATAACTGATAATGATAACTAATTCTTCTACTTGGTACATTTTGTTGTGATATCGTCGTGTTGAGCGAGCAAAAAGAAATAGGCAAAGAACGGAAGAACGGAAGAAAGGATGGAAGGGAAATGAAAAGTGAGGTGAGATTGGAAGGGAATTGGCATTGGCATTATGGAAACTCGATTCATAGCTGGCACATTTTTGCTAAACACGCAAACACACTTAACTGAGCAATAGTTATTAATAATATATACTGAATACTGAATATACAATACGAAAGAAATGCATAATTTTAGTAATTGGCGAATTTTTGTGTAGAGCGTAACAGCGTAACAGCGTAAAGCGTAAAACGGTATGGAAACCAGTCGAATATCATTTAGTTTAGGCCTAGCATTTAAGCAAACCAATAACTGAGATGAGAACTTAGTCTATTTAGGGCTGCGTATTGAGGATTGTTAACTTGGCTTTTTGATGTAAATTATTTAGGCAATGAACTTTTGTAATTCAGCTTGACAAGTGCGTAGAAAATCCAGTGATTTAGCGTCTAACACAAACGTATCTAAACGTATCAGCATCGGTCGGTAACTAACTAAAAAAAAAACCAATACAGTACAGTACAGTACAGTTCAGTTCTGTTCTGGAGAGTAGAGAGCAATTATACAGCAAATGTTTGGCAACACACAAAAATTGTGCAATATTATAATCAAAACGTAAATCACGCTAAAACCAATTTAGACACGAATTTCCTAAACGATAAACAAACAAAAAAACAACAAAACAATAACTGATCAAATGAAATCTATAAAAGAGCAATGGGCACTCGACTCCTAAGCATAAGTTTCCCTAGGCATACATATACATTATTTTTATGGTTATTTAGTTGTAATTGTAATTAAATTGTACTATACTTTACTTGTCCTTATTGTCTACAACTAAGTTCGATTCGTTTTCATTTTCTAGAACGAAGGCCCAGTAATACCCAGTAATACTATGTACGATCAAATTGGCAACAACAAAATTGTGAGAAATTGAATTATTTGATAAACGATAAGGAATCCAGCAATATTTGCATAAATTACACTTATTAAGCAAATTACCAAGTGAATAAACAATGAAATTTAAAACTAAAACGTCGGCCAAGGGTCGCAGGAAATGACAGAGGAGCTATAGCGTTTGACCCAAAAATCGATTACAAAATGGTGTTTAAAAGTAAGTATGCTCAATGTCCTTGATGCCAAACTGGCTGCAAGCGATCCGGGAAATTCTTCCGGTCACGGGGAGGTGTGAAACGACCAAATCGGATGCTACTGAGCTGAGATATATATTGAGGAATTTAACCAAATGCATGAATAGGTCAAAAACATGACAATTCTTGAAAAACTGATTATTACAATATGTACCAAATGTGTAGTTAGCGTGTAGTTACCATGTAAAACATCGACTTTTCCATCAAAATACCATTTTCAAATGACCGCCAAACTCCATTTACCGCACAAAAATTACAGACATTTTTCGATAGCAATATTGTATCTAAAAACATGCTGCTGGCAACATCAAACTGTTGCCAAAGTACTCGGTATATTTACGGTATTTTATGAAAATGAGATGGTATTTTAGTATATTTCTTCGATAAGTTGTCTGTCACATTGAGCTGTCAAACGATTGATAGTTGAGCCATCGATAGTTTGAATGTTTTGAGAAAAGCAATCGATACTATCGTGACAGTGTCAAATCGATTTGTTTATATTTATAAGCAGCAGCAGCGGAATTTTACTGAAAAACAGAGAGAAACAGAAACGGGCTGGAAATTAATGCTGCAGCATGCACTCGGCTCATTTGAATAGCGACTATTTTAAAGCTGGCCCAATCATCTTGAATTGATTTCCAGCCTCCGTGCAAGAGCAAGTACACGGGGCCGTCGAGTTGTTGAGTCATCAACAATTAACAAAAAAACAAGGGCAGCAGCAGTAGCAGCCTTGGGGGCGAACGTTAACACCACCCGACGAGATAGACGGTGCCACAGGTGAGAGGCGCACACGAGACAAGGCGTAGTCTTTCGCCTTGATGGCGTAAGCTGATCCAACAAACCACCCCATCATCATCGCCCATCAACCACACAGGCGTTACGCGTCGTTGACTAAGGTGTGTCCAAACTCTGCTTTGAAATCAACTAACTTTTGTCTACGTTTGCAGAGCACACAAACACACACGCACGTTTCTCTGACGCTCCGCTCACCCAAAAAAAAACTATGGAGGACTACAAATTCCTGTTCAAAATCGTGCTCGTTGGAAACGCGGGCGTTGGCAAAACTTGCCTGGTGCGCCGCTTCACCCAGGGTCTGTTCCCACCCGGCCAGGGGGCCACGATTGGCGTGGACTTTATGATCAAGACCGTGGAGGTGGAGGGTGAGAAGATCAAGCTACAGATTTGGGACACTGCCGGCCAGGAGCGATTCCGTTCGATCACGCAAAGCTACTATCGCTCCGCGCACGCCCTGATCCTGGTGTACGACATCAGTTGCCAGCCCACGTTCGACTGCCTGCCCGACTGGCTGCGGGAGATACAGGAGTACGCCAACTCCAAGGTCCTCAAGATACTCGTTGGCAACAAAACGGATCGCGACGACCGCGAGATACCCACACAAATTGGCGAAGAGTTTGCCAAACAACATGACATGTACTTCCTCGAAACATCCGCCAAAGAGGCGGAGAATGTGGAGCGTTTGTTCTACGAGATTGCCGCCGAACTGATTGGCCAGGCCCGCAGCAAAGACGGCAGCAGTGCTGCAGCCGCGGCGGCCGCCCAGCGGCAGTCGGACGGCAGTTCCATTGGATTAGCCAGCTTAGGTGCCAAAGCAGCGCAGAGCAATTGCTGTGGCGGATTGGCCAATGCTGGCGGAGGTGGCAGCGGCAGTGGCTCTAGCACTAGTCAAGGCGGCTGAGAAGCGGCAGCCAAACAACTAGAAACTGAGCAGCTAAACTGAAATTTGTAACTAGTTAAGGGCTTAATCGTGATATTCAATCTGATCTTTTGATAGATAATGTGACATTCATCTTCAGTCCGTTTTTTCCCATGTATTTATTTATAATTATTTCAAATGCAAGATATTTGATTTTCGTAGCGTAAAGTAGCCCAAATCAATTCACGATTAAGATCTTTCAAAACTAGCCAACACTTGACTATGGATGCTAAATATTTGTGTTAAAAATCGAACTCCATTGGATGTGTAGTCTTAAAGCGTCTGATTTTCTTGGTAAGTATTACACATATACACATATACATACATACAATAGGCATTGTACCAAGTGAGCATCACAGCCTATCAATATTGCAAGGCACACACACAATTTCCTGTTTTTTAAATTCGTTGTATCTTTTCCGAAGAAGTATTTTCTATGTTTTATACACTAATTCTAATCCCAATCCCTATTTTTTTTTGTATACATTTACAAGCCTGCAATATGCGTATTTATTTGAAATTATTTTGTGCAATCATTTGAAATGCAATTTTTAAACTGGTACTCGTATTTAGTGCTTAAGGTGATTTTATGACATTCCAAAAATTAAATATGTAGTTGACAAAATATGAGATAAATGGAAATGCTGGACGGAAGAAACTAAATAAATAATAAATCCATTTGTAATTAAATTTTGGATACACTAGGTAGCGCCCCCTTGCTACTCTGCTGTAGGAAGTACTTACTACTTCTAATAACATTAAGCGGATGACAGTTTCAAAAGCAACAGAATGAATAACTTTGATTTGCCTTGATTTACGTGTAGAAACTCCTTGGCGGCCAGACATTTCATTTTTGCCCACATATTCTCATTTGCTTAGGCAACAAAAAAATACACTCGATGCAACGCGAATTATAAAGAATTTACGTGCAGAAATTAAGATCGGGCGATTTCATATACTACATACATTTATATTATTTTTTATGCTATGGGGAAGGTGGATTCTAGAGAGACTGTAAAACTCTTAAAATGAAATACATAGATAAAATTCAGCAGGAGGTAAAGATATCCAAAATCATCCAATCATATCATATCAGATATCAAATATCCACTCACGCGTCAATTCCCATTGAAACTCTTCAAACCACACATTTGGATCGATAACAATATTTATATAGAATGTAATTACAAGAATAGCCTCTCTCTCTCTCTTAAATAACATATAATTTGCCTATTAGTTTAAAAAATCGTTGGCTAATTCCACGCCAAAGAAAACCGCTGCCGTGGCTGGAAAGGCGCGTAGGAGAATGGGCAGGACACCACGAAACAGTGCTGTAGGGCCTTCCGTGGCCATCAGATTCCTGAAAACACTGCGAATGCCGTGCTTATAGGTGCCTTCTGGTGCTGTAAAATGCATCATAAATTATTCAATCATTTCCGATACTTGGCAAATCGATGATGATGATGACTCACCAGACTGTAGGCGGCTCTTGAGTACATCGAAGGGCACGGCCAAAGTCCAGAACACAATGCCAGCCGTTCCGCCAGCTAAAATAGTTGAGGTCGTGCTGATTTGTCCTGTTTTTGATTTTTGTCTTGCCAAATCCTGAAGGAATTCGTAGGTTACGAAGTAGAAGCCGGTGGGGGAATCTAATGGATTATACAAGAGATGTAATGGCCTCTTTTGGGATGTGCAGATTGACCGCTTACCTCTCAGAATGCAGGCACATGTTCCTTTGAAGAGACTCCTAAATCCGCCCTGTCTGTACAGCTTCACAGCGGTGTCCAGTGTCCCGTTGTACATTAGAGGTCCTCCAGTCACCGTCTGTGTTTGCAGCAGGACCTTAATCCGATCCGTGGGCACCGTAACCAAGGCGGAACACACCCCCGCAAAGGCTCCAGCGGCAAATATTTGTGGATAGGTGAGGCGTATATGGTCATCCGTTTGGAACAGACGTTTGCCCGCCGCATAGACAGCAAAGTCCACTGCGTAGATGGGAGTAACTCCAACAAGGGGCGCCGAAATCCCTCTGTAGAAACCACGGAAGCCCTCCTGGCGAAACGTCTTCACTGCACAGTCGATGACACCCTTGTATCTGGGCGGCTGGCCAGGCGCCGGCAGGGGCATTGTCTGGAGACGAACCTGCAGATAAGAAAACATATGCTGGAGTTTCAGCTACACTTTCCGAGTGGAATTTTTGTGGCATACCTTAATTGTGTCGAGTGGATGGCCGGTGATGACATTGCACATGCCGCCGAAGCCTCCGGCAATGAAGGATTTCACGGGATTGGCCTTCTGCGGCGTTACGAGCTCCGTCATGGCGTGATTGGTGCTATTTACGTAAACGAAACCAGGAAATTCGTCAGCCTCTTGGCCGTCGGACGCACGTGCGATCTTGAAGCGTGTGTGTGGTTGGGTTGTGTTATGTTATCTGCACTATTTGCGGCTGCTGACCTATGCTAATATTGTAGATTTTTGTACTCCTTGTGGGTGCGAATTCCATCTTCAAATGCTGCAGGCCTTATCTTTTAAAATATTTCATTTGATTTTGAGAAATTGCAGCATTTATCGATGACTCTCAGAAATATACCGAAATATACCTTCTCATTTTCTATAAGTGCCTGGTCACTCCACTGAATCAGATGTTTTTTGTAAACAGTGCGCAAAATGTGATTCGGGAATTCTTTTTATTGCAGAATGCTGACAAAACTATTATTTAGCACGCAAATTGTGTTGAGGCAACATGAAAAGGTGCGTAAATAGCAGCGTAACAAATGCACAGTTTAAAAACGGAATATTTCAGCTACAATTCACGCGGTACCTTGCCATGAAAGCCGCTGCACCGAAAATATTGGAACTGCAGCCGGTCCACATCGAGGAGGCCATTAAATTGGAGCCCACACTATCTGGAAAATGTGAACTTTCTGCGCATTGTTACCGGCAATCCGGCCAATCCGCCAAGACAAACGTGGGATTGATGAGTGAACTAGATCAGGCTGTGTCCGCCATAACCGGGAGGAGTCACAGGAGGCGCCGCCAACCGAAGAAAAAGTACTGCCGCTGCCCAACAACCGATGAGAATTCCATTTCCATTGACACTGGATGAAATGCTGGACAGCAAATTGATAAATTAGATTCTGACAAACTTTGATGAAAGTGCGCTGGACCACCGCTGGATAGCAGCAACAGCAACAGGAATACATATACCAGCAGCAGACGCAGCAGCAGCAACAGGTCTATGGCGAGGATAACCAGAGTCAATTTACCACCATCGATGCCATGCAGCAGCTCATCTATCAGCAGCAGCAAATGCTCCAGCAGGCAGAACAACAGCGGCAGCAGCAGCAGCAGCACTCCCAATGCCAATAGTAATCCTTGGAAGAGCCAAAGCTCAGTTAAGGGCGCAAAATGTAACTCGGCATGCTTTTATCTGCACAATTATATGATGCAAGTATCTATTAAAGGATCTATTAAAAGGATTTTGTCAACTCTACAGCCGGGTCAGTACCTTTTTGCCTCTATCTCTTACTTTTCACTACAGAAATAATTGTAGAACATATATTCCTGAGCTGTGTGTCATGTCAGAAATTTCTCAGTCCCACACACGCAATCGAGAGGCAACTATCGATATAAATGTTTGGATTTTGCTGGATACATACGCCTGGAAAACTTAAACGAAAAATTCCTGCACAGTTTTTTTTTATATGAAGTTTGACAGGAATATTTCGATTTCGCGTTGATGGATACCAAGCTTTGGTCGGTAGTATCTGACAACCTATTCGGCTAGGTTGTTGATGTGCTACCAATATGAGAAATTTGTATTCAATTGTCATTCCATCTACATTATGGAATCTTCCGGAATGGAAGGCGACAAGTTTTGTTTCTCTTCTGCTCTGTTAATAAATTCCCAGAATCGAATAAATATCTAATTGTTTGATTTGTTTACTTGTCAGCTGTTTGGTCTGGTTATCTCTTTGCAGCTCGGAAATTGTATTGTCCAACTCGTCCAGTTTTTGCATTAGCTTCCCTACTTCTTAGGCGCTTTTAAATTTTGGACCCCTCAGCTAACGTTCACGTTCTTGAGCTTAGCATCGTCATCCGCATTGTGGCTCTCATCAGATCAGAGTAACCCCTTTTAGGTGCCTAATATGAATTTCTGCGAACCAGTTAGGCTCCTCAGACACCTACAATAGTGGATTGCTTAGTTATTTTTAATTAAATAAAATTAGTTTAATGATTATGAATTTCACTGGAGAAGAGAGAATGAGAGCGCTAGTCGGGTTGGAAAACTTATCTTTGTAATTAGTCAGCTAAGCTCTCAATGCTGATCAAGGATCTATATAATTTATGGGGTCGGAAACGCTTCCTTCTGGGTGTTGCATACATTTGCATGAATTAAACATACTCCTGTATCCTTTTAGTATCGGGTATAATAACAATTAAATAATCAATTGGTTGCCCAATGCATTGCAATGGATTGAATAGAATACCTATTAATATTTATGTAATATTTATACTCTTTATTCAGGCATAAAGCCTGGTGCCATTTGCATTTGAATGTCTTTTCCAGATTGTTTAAATTCTTGCCGTCAAAAACATTGACGTCCACGCATTGTCGTTGAATGGGGGGCAGATGATGTTGCATTAATGTGGCTCAAAGCGAATGCCAACAACCTTTTGGCATCCTTTGTGGTCATAAAATCGAAATATGCACTACCCCACCGGACGCTCTGGCTCAGCGGGAAGCGGAATGCATCGCCGTGCTACATGCAACATGCTACCCACAAAGTCAATTTCCATTTCCATGAGTATTGATTTATATGCGTGTGCGGGGGAGTGAAAATTATTATCCTATAATTTCATAAATTAGGCAGCCTCATCCAGTGGGGAGTACAGCGAAATGCAATTTCTTTGATGTCTGGCAGGGAATTAATTATGTATGAGGAGGGTGTTTGAGGCTGACCAAAAAGTTAACACATGCTTGGCTAATTCCTCTTAATTATCTTTATGATTTCGGCATAGTTTGACAGTTGGATAGCTGATGCCCAAGTCTCACAGGATTCAGATTCTCTCTCTCTCTCTCCCTCTACAGATATAGAAAAATTCATCTGTGTTGTGTGGGTAGCTGTGGTCAAGGTCGCGGCTCTAGAGATTAGAATCACGTTTTATGCGATTCACCAACAAAAAACCGAAACCAAGTCGGACACGTCGCTGGCAATAGCAAAAAAAATAAATAAATAAAAAAAAACATTGTAAAGCTTTTATCAGTCCACATTTATCAGTCATTAGTCGCGTTTAATGTCATAAAATCTACATCCAACATACATATGTACAAAAAGATACAGCATTAGACATACATACAAACATATGTACAGAAACATGTGCGTATATTTGACAGGCAATAAGAATTTTTCCCTACTACGCCACTGGCATTTCCCCCATTTTTGTGACCATTTTCAGGCGCCTACATGATTTTCCCTTCTGTCAAATGCAGAAAAGATAGAGAGAGAGAGAGTTGATGAACGTGTGTGTTATATGACAAAGTGTTACAATTAAATGGGAGGAGTATCTGCACGGATTGGGGAATATGCTGGAATACTTGGGATAGGTCAAAGAATATTCCTTGTAAATGATGTCGATTCTGCTGGAGAAAGGTCAAATAAATATGTACTGGCATACAAATATGGAGAAAATCATATTCATAATTTATTTATGCATTTAATTTATTCAGCATGAAACTGGTCTACCCTGGAAATGTTAGGGCATTGCTCATTTAACTATTTTTTGTCGTTGGTACTACTTAATTAAATACGTATCATATTATCTATTTATTCATAAATTTATTGTATGATTAATTTACATAATCTTATTTCTCTTTTTAGATAATTCATGTAAGCAACAATAAAATGGAACGACTGATTTTAAAACTCCAGAATACAAATCCATTGAAAATAGAACGGATAAAAGTGTTTCGTATTTTTTTTTTCACACGTGCCTAAACCCAAGTGTTTAAAAAATTGTTGAAATTTCAAAAAGTATCCCAATTTTGTTTTTTATTTTTAATTTTGTTTATGTGAAGCGTAGTTAGGCGGAAAATATTGAAAGTAATGTGTAACAAAGGGGCTATGGCTATGGCGTCAAACGAAATCGTTAAATGTCGCGTAAAGCGGAGAGCGAAAACGACAAGCACATGGTACGTATCTTTAAGATAAATTTCCACACATTTTCAAGTGATATCATATTTTTTCGTTATGCAGGAAAAAAAGGAAAGCATGTCGAAGCGATCAGCGCTGATCATTTACTTTGGTAAGCGAATCTATAATTTTGTATTTAAACCTGGAAAACAGAAATAGACCACAGACTTTTATTTATTTATTTATCTAACAGATAACACATAACCTTTCGTTATCCTAGATTTATATCAGCCATATTTTTTCATCATCATGATACGTACATTATGCATTGATATGATTTTCATTTGTGGATGGTAATATTTTATATAATAATCTGCAATGCTTAGTCATGGAATGGCGAAGTCCCGAATGTGGCAAATTAGATAATGAGATAATGCCCCAAGAGAATTAATAAGCATGCAAATGCATTGAGTGGGGGATTTATATTGGATTTGGCGACTGACAGCTGCCAGAGAAACTAATTGAAAATAATCTGCTGCTGATTAGTGCCGATACTGATAGCATGATCGATGGATCCCCGACCCGATAATTGTGCGTAATTGATGATTAATAAACAGATAGGACCAGATATAACAATAATGACCACAAATTGCCACGTGTTGCGTATTCGTATTAAATTCGTACTCTGGCCGCGACTCCTCCAATGATTGCGCACAATCCCCCAAACCCACAAATCATACATACGAGTATTTTGCGGGGGCTAAAGGGACCACTTCGGAGCTCCGTACTTCGGTGCTTGGCAATCGGCTCTCCCTACCTGAAACCGTTGAAATCTTTCGTATCCTCGGCTGGCCATCGGCTTGCCATTCGCCTCGTATAAATCGCGGGCTTCTTGGGCTGCCGATTTCACTCACGTTTCACACTCAAAGCGGTGCAGTCACCCAGCAGCCGAAGCAGAAGCACCCACAGAGCACCCCACTAATGGTTAATGTTAAATCTATTTAAATTTGGAAAATTCTAGAAGTGTTTTGCCCAGTTTTTGAACTTAGTTTCTGTGTATTTTCCAGTGAAGTTTTCGTAAAAAAAAAAACTTATTAACAAACTGATATTTGTGTGCAAAGCAAATTTAAAAAACGTTTTTATCTGTGCATTTGCTTAAAACAGGTGAGTTATATGATACATTTTATGATTTTATGATAATAATATAGTTAAGATCGATTAGAAAATAATATTAATATAAAAGAATAATAATCTTTTTTTCAAATGAGTTATATCCCAAAATCTACTTCCTCTTGCTTAAAAAGTTTCTTAACAAATTTGAGCATGTATTTCTGAACTTACAATTCTTAAATACGTCCTTCAATTACTCAATTTAAAACACCTTTTCATTTATTTTACATCAACGAATTTATCTATTGTGTTCATCATAATTTCGGCGTCTTTAAATTATAAATTTATCTTTTTAAATAACTTTTTTTTATTTGAAACATCTATTTAAAAATTGATCAGCTTACTAAGCCGACGGGAATTTCTTTTTTGTTTTTATTCTAAAGAACATTTTTGAATTCAATTTAAAAATGTTTCGATATAATATTAGCCGTCGGAAAACTTCTCTTCTGCTAAGATTTTTCGAGAATGATTGGGAAAACCATTGTTTTTAGGAGCTTAAATTGTACTCAAGCAAATATAATATTTTGAAACATTTCTAAGGATTATTTAATTTTAGATGTCATTATTTATAAAATCACTTTATTTTTTATTTGAGTTTTCTTTGTAAATTCAAAAAGTTTACTAATTACTTTAATAATTCCATCAAATTCCATCTCTTTTCGCAAATTTGTAATAACTTCTTCATTAATGAAATTATTTATTCCTTTGTCCCCTTTTTTGTCTCGAGTTCATTTAAAAATTTCCTCGAATTTATTATTTCCTAATCAACAAAATGTAAAAGTTGATCCCATAATCTTTTTTTTGGTCTATTGTTGACCCTTTTACATATGCAGCTGTATTTTTATTGTACATATATTCTTTCTGTTTCATCTTCCACTTAATTATGTATGTTTTTATGGCTAAAAATTTCATATGTTTGTAATTCTGCAAATGCCCCGTGTTTGGCCTTTTGGAAATTGCTGCTTAGCCCCGGCCTAAGCCATAAAGTCAACATGGAACCCCCAGTCCTCCATTGTGCTCAAGATGTCCTTTTCGATGATGTGTGTTGAGCCCGGGACATTTGTTGCTTCGCCTTCGTCCTTGCGCTTTTGGCTGTTGGCCTAGGCGACCTTTTTATTCATTGTTGTATCTGGGAAAATCTTTATTTTATGTTGCAAAATTGAAGTCGACCCTGCGATGGTCTTATTACCAAGTAAGTCCTTGGGATTATCGCAATCATTTAAAGCTTTATGCGGCTCCTCATATTGGATCGTTCTTATAGTTTTTGGGGGTTTTATGGCAAGCTGTAGTTGCTTTGAGAGTTTTCCTACTTCAATTGCCTGAAACCTTGAGCATTGGCTTCTTAAAGTTCTTGGCTTAAATGTGTGGAGGGAAGCTCTTTGCTGGAGGGAAGTTCTTGGCTTAAAATGAAGAGGAACTTCTTGGCTTAGAATCAAGTGAAACTTCTTGGCTAAAACATGTGCGGGAAGTTATTTTCTTTAATATTTTCCGAAACTTTTTGGCTTAAACATTTCAAGCAATTTAAATTAATCTCGCCCGCATCCAAAGATCAACCTTATTTGCCCTGGAATTACTCATCTGTTCAGTGACTCGAATGACTGAGCCCTGTACTCGTATTTCACCCGCAAAACTTTATTTTAAATTGAATGGGACTGTGCGTTTCGCGAAACAATTATGTTCCTGGCTACAGTCACAAATTTGCATTTATTATAAATCAGCAATTAATTTTCGTTTTACTGAAAAATTAATGCCAGTAAAATCAGCATGTAGATCAAATTAAAATTATAGAATAACGAAAAAAAAAAAATAATTGAAAAGTGATGAAAATTAAAAATGTATTTAAGTGTGACGCAGCGCAAAAGCCGCTTAGCTGTGGAGTAAGAGCGGAAAAGTGATTTGCTTTTATTTTTTTGCACCATGGAACAGGAGATGAAATCCTTTTAATCCTTTTCTGTTGCTCACATTTTTTTATACAGTGTTAAATGGAATTTTTTAGACGAATTTTGGTGTTTAAATAAATGGGGCTATTTTGTAATGTTTTAAAAGAAATATTCCAAATACTCTATGGGTGTTCATTAAAGGGTTTCCTCTTCCTAAATTAGACCCAAGATTCCACCTCACTTATCTTTCAAGAATATAAGCTTTTGCACAAATATTCTTAAAATAAATACGCATTTAACTCTACGAAAATATCTTTCATAAATCTCAGCAAAGCCCAGGGGATTTCCCTTTAGCAACAAATACTATTTTTTCAATTACAATTTTAATCAATAAATTCCAACTTCCATCCCACTGTTTGCCCACACGTTTTTGCTATTTTATATTACCACATTTCTTTGGGGCAAACTGTCGGAGCAGGCAGAACCGAGAACCGAGAACAGAGAACTTGTGGCACAGGTGCACCAAAATGTGGAATGACAGGCGTTGAAAACTACTTAATTTAAGAGTCCACCCTTGGGTTATTTATTTAAATGCTTTGAACTGCTACAATTCCGTTTTTGGGGAATTGTTGTTTTCTTTAAATTTGCCAAATAAAAATATCCAAACGGACCCCGTACAGAAGAGACCGTAAGATGGCAGTTGATTTGGGTGTCAGTTGTACTTCCTTTCATATGGTTTCATTTTTAAATGCTCTCTTTTTGAGTGTTCTTTTTGGGTTTTCCGTGGCTCTAAGTGGAATGATGTGGAAACTTTTTCAGGCTCAATTAATTCAAGTGGGAAGCATGAAGGTAAACGTGAACCTAAGCCTGGGCATCAATTAAAAAATACTTAGACAAAAGTCTTCACTTGAGTGCGCTGAGAAGACCCTCAAAATTCGATACTTTTCTATGGCTGAAACGCAGTAAAATTCGCCACTTGATTGTGGCTAAAACGTAGAAAATTTCATCACTTGAGCGTGGCTAATCCCCAGGAAAAAAGGGCTTAAACCGAACACCCAAAACGGTGTAGAAAACTTTCGAATAAAATTTGTCTTAACAAGCGCACCCCCCAGTTGTCCGTTCGTCTAATTAAATTTGCATATTTTTATTAATTAAATTGTTTTGCCAGTGTTGTTTGCCAACAGCTCCCAGAGAACTTTGGCCCCACCGCAACACACACACACATATGCATGCTAATCATCGTGGTAGAGCCGGAGGAGGAGAGTCACTGTCTAAAAATTAACATGCTCCCGGCGGAAGTTAAGCAAACACCCGGACCAAAGCAAAATGGCACATTCCTTATTCTGTTGCCTGCCACGCTTTGGACTTAAATGGGTCCTTCGTGGTCTCCGCTGCAATAGGGAGTCCATTAAATCCAAAAATACCCCACAGATAGAGAGCACTTCGAGGCTTATTCTCTCATTTATTGCATTCTTATGGCACAGGATGATTGCTGATCATAATTTTGTCAGTTTTTACGGTGTGAATGTAATTGGGGGCACGATTCTTCTGCCGGATAAGTTTATGCCTTCAATTAGGCTTTTGAATTGGAAACTGCATAAAAAAAGTTACACGAGTTTCGGGTTAAATTGAGTGGGAAAACTCATTAAAAGTTTCTCTTAAAAATGAACATAATTTTCATACTCTACTCTCACGGCAAGAAATCAACATAGATACGGCTTAAACGAGCAGACTCTTTGCGTAGTCAGAGTTAAGGGGTATTCAAAGGGGATTGTTGTATGTTGCTGCTTTTGATGAACTCTAAGCCGGATCTGCGGTTTTTAATCTTATGTATGTATTTTTGAATTGCAATTTTTCAACAAATTTTTAACCAATATTTGTGTGTGGGTTTTTGAGTTTTGATTTTGTTAAAGCGTGGCCAAAACATTTGCTAGACAATTGTGTGCACAATTTATCTTCAATGATACGATAGGTAGCCAAATGCTTCTGGAGTATTTTTTGCTGCTCTCA